TAAAATCACCATTAAGTGCACCTTATTCGAAGATTAAGTCAGCCATAATAGGGTTAGCCTATAATTCCTCCCCTAAGCCATTTAACAACAAAATTCCAAGATCGTAAAATGCTGGTAAATAGTCTTAATTCTTGGCTTAACTGAGTAATGGAAAAATTAATTATTTTCTATTCTATTTTATATTAAAAATTAATTTATTACTTTATTTAAATTTATTTTGCTCATTTCTTAATAAAGTAAAGATAATTTATAAGTAGCCTCTACTGAATTCTTTTTTTGAGCTTATTTATAAAAGTATTCAGCATCTTAGTAGTCTTTCTCCAAAGAGTCTATCATTAATATTTATAATTATTATTGTTACAATTTTATAACTCTAAACCAGAGGTGTATAAATCACCTAAATAATTCATAGAAGGCACATGTTCTAATTCTGCAGCTTTTCTTAATAATTTAATAGCCAAATCACAATCTTTAGTTTTAATTGCTGTCACACTTGATTTTCTACTCTATTGTTCATCCTTTTCAAAAAATTTGTCAAATACTTTTTCTTCCTAATAGATTGCTTTATAATATATTACTAATATTAATCTAGATGCCCAATAGACACTAAATGTATGTCCTTGGTCAGCACTCAATTTAAAATAGTTAAAAGCCTACCACAAGTGGTTTTAAAATTCAATACCTGATCATAATCTTTTTCTCCTATAACTCCATCCATCAAAATCTATCCCATTATTGCCTATGCTATTGGATGGTTATCCTCTGCCAATTTTTTATATATTTATATAGCACTATCTCTATTTTTCTCTGTTCCCAATCCTACATACATTTCATGAGCATTCCTTAATTATGTATCTAAATATCCTTTTTTAGATTTTTTTAAGTTATCCAAATTCTTTGTTCTTATATCATTTGTGAATTACTCAAACCATTCATTTAATTGTAATTTGAAATCATTTGAACAAATTGTATTTGTAGTTCTGTTTTCTAACAACAAAACTTATTCCCAAAAGTAACATTGTTTTTCCAAAGCACGTAACTATTTATCATATTACTTATGAGTGGGTCCTTTACATGGCCACTTAATTGATTCTATTAAACTAAATGCATCATGCACTTCTTAAATAGTCCTAATCGTATCTCTTTATAAATTAAACAATGACTGTGTTATCTTAACCTTAATTAAGCTTTGTTATGAACTATAATTCTTCAAAATCTACTATGCTTAACCTAATATTTATGCTGACAACTATCTTTTTCCTTCATCCAACTTCGAACTTATCTCAATCTAAGAAATAAGGTCAGCTAATTAAATATATAAGTATACATATTTATTAATGTGCTGCCTGAAACTTGAACCCCTCATAAAATTATGAATCATTCTCTGATGAATTAGCATTCACTTAATCACAATATTTTGCTATAGTCTAATGTAAATGTTCTTAATGGGTCTTATATAAGTTGTCGTTGATATATCGTGAATTCAGTGACATATATATATAAATATATAATTTATTAATAATAATTATAATTTTCCTCTCATCTCTTGTGTCCACTCCAAGATTGAAGTTCCATGAATTTGTTTTGAGATTTACTCAACATATCTTATGTTTACTAATTATGCCAACTCATCATACCTTTAAACGAACTTTCAATGTCTCTTCATCCTTAAACAATTTTTCTCTTGATTTTTTTAGTTTCTCCTCTATTAATTTCTCATAAGAAACTCTCTCCTTATAAAATTATTATGATTTCATCTCATCCAATTTCTTAGTTTCCTCCTTCTTTTTCTTCCTCTCCTTCTCTTCTTAATATAATGCCTCTCTAATCTTTTGGTTCTCTTAAAGTATACAATCTCTTGTTCTACTTAAGGTCATTTTCATTGTACTTTTGTATTCTTTGACTTAAGATTGTTTCATTGAATTTCTAAAAATTGTATATTTTATTTTACCCTAACTTTTATGCTACATTTTTTTTAATAATGAAGTCTTCTTCACATTTTTTTATTGATTCTATTTGTTACTTTTTTCTTTTCATTTTTTCATCTTTTATTTATTTAGCCTCATCTGCCAATTCCTACAAATGCTTCTTCACTAAGATACCATTCTCAATTTTATCTGCTGCCATCTCATATAACTTAGCCTGCCTAAATCAAGTTACGTTTTACAAGATGTAAATTTTTCTATTCTGTCTATTTCAATAAAGTTATTTTAGCCATCTATCTTTCATATGCTAGTTTTTCTTGTTTCTTTTAATCTGTAGCTTAAGGAAGTGGAATTGTAGGTTTGTCATCATCATTTAAACTCCTTGACATATCGAGAATTTATATTAATTATAATATGTGTTTTTATATTCTAATCTCTAAAATCGTTTTAAGATTTTTATCAAGGAATTTCAAACGTATTTATTTAATATTCATAATGTAATACATATACATTCATGTAATCTATTTATTTTACAAAAATTTTTAAAAATGAACGAAAAAAAGACAAATTAATTAATCTTATTAATTTACAATCATTATTATTTTCAAAAATAGTCTTTATTTTTCATTCTTAAGCTTATGTTAGTTTAAAAATACAAAAACTGCAAATTAATTAATTTCCAAAAAAAATTATATTTTTTAATTCTTAATTATGTTAAACCTAAATATATTAAAAAGTAAAAATATAATAATTGGGTGATTGAAAGCAAAACAGATCAATATTATAATACATACTCCAATATCATTTCATAATTATTTCAACAAATATCAGTTCATTCACTCATAAAACTTGAGCTCAACATCTAATCAAAATTTAATTAATAATTTTAATTCTTTATATTCATCAATAAGAACTCAAAAAATTTCAATAACTAAACGTAGTGCAAATTCTCCATTTTTCTATAATTTATTCAAAACAACTTAAAAATAATTTAAAGATGATCATAGAGAGCAAGTTCCATTCATATTGATTAGTATATAATTAAATAAATGATTGATCAATTCTTAAAGCATAAATAAATATGTTATCATGATCTAAGAAAATTAATTGTTCTGAATCCCTTTAAATAGGAGGGTAGCATATTTTCTTATTAAATTGATGACTCTGGTTAATTAAAATTGAAGATGATGCAATTAATAATTATTTTCATTGTTTTAGGATCATTTCTAACGTTTAAAATTTCACTCTTTTAGTATCTTTGAATTATTAGCATTATAGAATTCCATTTAATAAGGCAATAAGTTATAATTTTATGTCTGATAATTTATTAGGATTAGTAATTTAAATTCTCTATTTAGCTATTAAAATAGAAAATAGGCACTTCAAATTTTTTGATTTTAGCATTGCTTTTAATACTTCAATGGGATTTATAAAAATGGTTTCATATTATATTACTTTGATAATAGAGTTTCCTAAGGATTTCTTCTTGTTTTGCTTTATTAGATATTAAACTTGAAGAATTCTTAAAGACTTGTAAAAATCTGTTAATTTTAATTATCAAAGTTTCTATTTTGCTTATAAGAAAACAAAACTAAAGAAACATCAAAATACTGAAGTTTTATCTTAATTAATTTCTAAAAAGTTCACCAAATTATAATTTATTTAAATTTATTTAATAATCTAGGAAATATTGATAGGAAAACATTATAATCAATCTAATGAATCATTCATCTAGTTTATTATTTTGTTAAGTAGATATTATAATGACTTTTATACTTATCTACTAGAAAAATATAATTGTTTTTCACTTAAAATTCAAACTACTTACTTTGTAAACTGAAAATTAAAAATTACTTTTATTTAGCAAAATATAATTAGTCTTTGATAATTATTAGATAAATTGATGAATATTAAAATTAATTAATTATTTGAGATTTCTTTTGAGATGGGAAATTTGAAAACAAATAAGAATTTAATGAGTAAGTCAAAAGTAATGAAGAATTAAATAAATTATATACATTACGAATTATTAAATACTTTATTAATGAGATTATTAATACATATTAAATATAATAAATGAAATAAAATTTGGAAGAAATAGCAGCCACAATTCCAAATTACAAGATGGTTGATGGGAAGTATTATATCAAAACTACAAAACTGGGAAAAGGAAATTTTGCGGATACGTATATATAAAGATTTAAAAAAGTCATTTAGCTACATTGAAAGACAATGAGAAATAAGTTTTTGCATGTAAACTAATTGCAAAACAAAATATAATTGAAAAACTCAAAAAAAGTAATAATCCAGAAAGCAGAAAAGAATATATAATCAACTCATTAAAAATAGAAGTATATGATTTAGCATTAATATTTTAGGTTTCTTTATGGAAGTAGATGGATCATCCTAATATTGTTAAGTTTATAGATTTCTCTGAAACTCCAAATAATATTTATTTCTTTTTGGAATACTGCAATGGTGGAGATTTAGATATGCTCATTAAAGATAAAGGAAAATTAAATGAATAAGAGACAGTTGATATATTCCTTTAGATTGCAGAAGGATGTTCATACTTATATGACAAAAGTGTTTTTCATAGAGATTTAAAGCCTGAAAATATATTGATACATAATGGTACAGCTAAATTAGCAGATTTTGGTTTTGCTAAAGTAATTGAAGAAGATAAAAAAGATGTTGCTGCTCATGGAACATCAGTAGGAACACCTTATTACATGGCTCCATAAATTTTAGCAGGAGAAGAGTATTTATCTTGAAATAAATGATTTAGCTATTGCATTAAATGTGATGTCTGGTCTTTGGGTGTAATTCTATATTAAATGTTATTTGGAGTGCTTCCATGGAAAGATACAAATTCTATAATGTTGTTACTAAATGCTATCAACAATTAGAAAATTCAATTTCCAAATACAAATCAAGTTAGTTAAGAAATGAAAGAATTAATTACAGTATTGAATATATATTTATTAATTAATAGAAAATGCTGCAAAAAAAAGAAGAAGATCGTATTAATATTAAGGAAGTGTGTGAGTGTTTGAATAAAATAAAAAAGTGATATAAAATATTAAAATATATGCATTATTGTATTTATATTCTAACTCATTAACCAATTAAGGCAGAAGCTGTCTTTGAGACACTTTAAGATAATAACAAATTTATACTATTTCCAATTTGATGGTAATTTTTGGGTTCTTCTATAATATCTGCTAAGTCTATGGATTCTACTTTCAACCAAAATCAATCTGAATTTGCTTGTAATATCACCTCTATTCTTCTCCAAATGCTTTCTAATTTAAACAGCCTTTTTAATTAAGGCATATAAATCTTCAGGGATTTTTGGAGCACAACCTAAAATTTTAATTATTGCTATACCTCTTTTCTTTAAGATTCTTAAAATCTTTTAACCTGTTAAGAATCTGGTTTAAGGGATACCTTATTAATCTCTTAAATAAACTCCAATTTGAGATCCATTCAAACCTATAAAAATTGCATTAATGTAAAACGAAACCTTTCTTAGCTAAATTAACAATTTAATCAACGATTGATTTAGATGATAAGGTCAACCATTTTGGTGCTTTTCTTTTATATGGGAGGGCTGAACCAGAAATACCCTTTCCCTTTCCCTTAGCTTACATACGACCCATGAATTAATTTAAGATTTAATTTTATTTAAATTTGTTTAGTCATTTCTTTGTTTTCTTGGGTTTCTTTTTTTTGGCACCTAAACCATATAGTTCTTTTCTTTCCATTAATTCGTTTTAGATTAATTTAATAGCATTTTCCATTCTTAATTATTGTAATTCTCTTAATTTTTTAGCTTCTTGTTCTTAAATTTCCTAAAATACTTAAATTAATTTTACTTTTCTCTCACGTTCTTATTTTTCTAATTCTTCTTTTTCAAATCTTCTATTTAATTTATCTAATTCTTCTAACATAATATTTTTTTGTTCAGTTAATTTTTCAATTTTATCTTCTAATTCTTATTTCTTTTCATCCATATATTTATTTTAATCATCTGTTTTCTTTTTTGATTCTTCCTAAATTATAATATAATTTTAATTACTTCTTTTCTAATTAAGTAATCTTTTAATTATTTATGAACTTTTTCTTCTGTCTCAATTTTTGTAGCAAAATTTTAAATTTATTATTCAATATCTTTTAAGGCAAATTCAAATACTCTCATTTAAGTATTTTCTTTAGATGTACCTACCTTTTCATCATACTTTTTTTTTAAATCAGCTCTATTCGTTTTATATAATAATTTTTCTTTTAAAGATTAAATATTCTTTTGTTTTTCAGTCTTTTCATGTTCATGTTCTTTAATTTCTTAAGTTTTATCATTTTACAATTTTTTTATTTCAGCAGCTAATTCTTTTTCTCTTACTGCAAATTTTCTTAATGAATCCTATTCTTCTAAACTATTTGTAACATTTTAAGCAAATTTATTTAATTGATTGTTTTAAATGAATGTTTTGAGATTCTTCAATATGTTAAAATTAATACTTCCAAATCTGAGATCAATCCTGCTCTCTCTTCATATACTTTTAATGAATCCTAATCTATATTTGGGTTTTCCTTAAATAACCTAATATTTTAAATGAAACTTATACCTACATAACTTCTTAGTACTTTCTTTTAGTCTTTATGCTACTTCTTAGATATGCTTCTGTGTTTCAGTTAATTATTTTCTATTAGAGATCCCTACTAAAGTGCTTCTTTTAGCAACTAATTCTGCATATTTAACTTCCAATGTTTATTGATCAGTTAATAATTTACTCTATTCATATCCTGCCAATTCAGAAGATATATCATTATCTCTTGTTATTTCTCCTATAAATTGCAATTTCAGAATGCAATCCTTAAGTACAAATTATAATTTGTGTTAATCAATAGGATTCATTTTTATATTAATTTATATATATGTATTTTAATGCTCATTCAAATTTGTAAAATTGTTTAGGTTTATCAATCTGATTACTATATAAAATCATTTATTAATACATGCCATGATGCCATAAAGAAGGTTCGAAATTATTATCATCATCAATAAAAAAGAATTTTTTATCCAATTCTGGCACATCAAACTTATTTTCCCAAACAGGAGCACCATCAAGTAATCTACCAATCTCTGTTTGTATACTTTTTGCATAATAATTTCCAGATGCCAATCTTATAATACTATATTATATTTAATTACCTTGTTCCTAAAAATATTGCACCAACTATTCCAGCTTTATAATAAATAGCTAATTTCTTTACTGGACCTATTCTATTGACTGCTTCCAAACTCAAATAAGTGGTAAGTAGTGTTGCCTTATTCTAGAAACTGGATTATCCATTCACTAAATTGAATACTTTATTTTAAGTTTCTGTTGGTACAAGTGATGTATGAGTCCACCAAGGCTTATTATTTTATGTGAGATTGATATACATTTAATTATTTAATAAATCTTATATTATCTATGTAAATAAAAGAATTGTATATAAGATGATAACTTTTTTATTTGCAATATAAATCAAATTTATACATAAATAGAATAAGTAATTTATGAATTAAATAATTCTAAATATTTTCATTTCTTTCTTAATTTGAATTTCACATTAATCATTTTTTTATTCAATAATCTTTAAAATTTTATTTACTATTTTTAATATAATTCTAAAGTTAATTTAATTATATAAATAAGTAACTTTAATTTAAATTATTACATAAAAATAAAAATTCATGCTTCATTAAGGTGGTTTCAATGACCAAACATAGTCTATTTCATAAATACTAAATTTTTAATTGCACCATATAGCTAAATATTTACCACAATTCGATAAATTTCCATAACTTTATTCATCATTTAAGATTATTTATTCTTATTAAACATTTAATTTATTTTATGAGTTTAGATTCAAAAAATATATATGCTAATGATATTTTTAAATTAATATTTATTTTTTTGTATCAAATATTGATGGAAACGAATAATCACCATCATTTTGAGCATTCATTGCAAGCTATAATCTTTATTCAGTTATTTCTTTAAAAATACCATTATCCTCCTGAAAGATATGTGTTTATCCCCTTTTAAATGATTACCAAACTATTTATTAATCAGAGATAAAACTTATTCTAAAACCAAAATCATTTGTTGATTTATCTATTACTTATTTAAATATCCATTCTTAATCGTTTTTTTAACTCCAAATTATAATTTGTTTATCTAAACCACTTGATACTAACAAATTATTGCTTTAATTGAGACAAACAGAAATCACAGGTCCAGTATGCCTTTCTAATGAATATTAATATTAAATAGAATTTTATTTATAATTTACAGTCCAAATAGAAATCTTACAATCTGAACTACAAGAGATTAATTAATTTTCTTTTTAATTTAAAACTAATTATAATATTGAATCTTTATGAGCATTATAATATTATTGTTTATTTGTAATAGTAAAATTAAACAAAAGTCTAACAGGTTTCCATAAAATTATAGATAAATCTTTTCCTGCTGAAAATAACCAATTTTTTCTTTTACTAAATATTATTGTATATATAATTTATGTATGTTCATTTAAAGTATCAATGACATCACCAATTTTTCCATCTTAAAATTTCTATAATTTAATTTCTTTATTACAAGAAGAAGCAATCAATGAATCATTATAATTAAATGCTAATGATAAAACTTTATCTTATTAAAAAACTGTTTGATTTAACTTTATTGATATTATTTTTTATATATGAGTGATATCTAAAAGTTAACATAATCCTTAATTTCTTGTTGCTAATACCTATAAATTTTAGATATTATTCTTTATTTTTTCTGAATATTACAATCTTTTTATTTCAATAAATTCAAATATTTTTTAATTATTTATAAAAGTATAATCCTAATTGTTAAGCTTATTTAATTCTTGTAAAAAATTATACTGAGAAATATCATATATTCTATTTTCTAATTCCTATTTCCAGTTTTACAATGCTTCTAATATATTATTAATTAATTATTAAAGACTTCCTTAAAATTCGACTATAGTATCAATATGATTATTAATTTTATGTAATTAATCTAAAATAATAGTCTTTTATTCGCTAAATTCTGAATTTTTCTTCTCTTATAGTATATTTATAGCTTCAGATATCCTATAAACTTTTTTTAAACCAGAAATTTGCTTAAAACATATTTAACATAAAAGTTTTTCTTCTCCTATAAACTAGTCATCTATAAGCACAAAATCAATATTTTGATTGTGCTATTCGCATTTCATAGATTCATTTGTATGACTCATACGGCATTATTAAATATTTTAAATCATTTGTGTTAAATAATAAATAAAAATTATTCCACATCTTTTCGACAAGTTTCTCCTTTTTTATAAAAACTCAATGTTGTATTTCATAGTTTTTCTATTTCCAGATCATTAATAGCATATTAAATATTTAATTATAATCATCTTAAATATCTGTTGATTTTCATAAATTAAAAATTTGTATCTTTTTAATTGAGGATCTACAATATTAATTATATTTTTAGTATTTTTTAATTAATACTAAATTTTATACATATGATTCTGAATTATTTAAAATCAATTATTTTTTACCGTCTATAAAAAGTATTTGTATTTTTTTTCTGATAATATTATTTGATTATATAATTATTACATAAAATTTAGATACACTTTATAATTAATTTACATTTTTTTTCACTAAAATATATTTTGTTTTTTATTACTTATGTTAATTAGTAAATAGTTATCAAAATAGATACTCATATATATATTCTTGAGTTTTCCATAAATCTCATCTATATAATAATAATTACAATTAGAAAATGAATTAATAACCTTAAATATTTTAAACTATTTATTTAAAGCAAACTTACCTTTGATATCCTATTAATTTTAATTTGTTAGAATAGATAAATAATAAAATAATAATAGATATTAAATATATATTTATTTTATTTATATTTAATATATATAAATATCATTGAATGCGCAAATCAAGAACTTGATAATAAACTTATATTTTATATAATTAAAATTCTATTATATGTCATATATTGACCTAGATGCTTGTCTCAATCAACTTAAATGTGAATATGGATAATAACATTAAAATTCAGAAATTTTATTATTATCATTAGATTAAGGGATAAATATAAAGAATCGCTTGAAATGTAAATATTGTCTTCAGGCTCATTATGGTAAGTTTGAAAGTATGGCGATTTTCCAAGTTCTTCAAGCAATAAAAGATAAATTTATGAGTATAGAAAACCATCGTTTAGAAAGAATAAATGAAGAGAAATAAGGTTTAATAAAAATCAAAGATGATATAACTAATTTGAAATCAAACTTAAATTAAATCTTAGATGAATTTTCTAATTTGATTGATTAATTGAACGTTGAGTACGATAATATATTAGGAAATATATAGTTTAACTTAATGAATGAAATTTAAGAAATAGCTGAATAATAATATAGTAGTATTAATCTCACTTTAGATTAATTTAATAATAAATTGATATCAATAAAGATGTCATATAAAGAAAAATTTCAAAAAAAGCTATTAAATATATAAGAATAGATTTCTTCTATTGTTGAAAAATATTCTTAAAATGATAGTAGAAATAAAGAAAATGAAATACAATTAATCTAAAATAATATTTAAAGAATATCAAACATAAAAATAAAAATTATAAATAATGCAGAATCAAATTAGATAATAAAATATTAAAATATATCTGAAATTTAATGTTAATATTGTCTTGCTCTAGCTTTTGATTATTAATGTAAATAATTAGCAGTTTGTTCTAAAGAATATTAAGTTGAGATATATAATATTGAGAATGGAATTATATAGAATAAATAATCAATATTATAACATTAGAATAAAATATATTCAATTATTTATAGTAAAAATTAAAATTGGTTAGTAACAGGAACAGGGGATGGTAATATTTATATATGGAAATTATAAGATTCTTAATGGTAGAAATTTACATCATAATATCAACATCAAAGTACTGTTTTCTGTCTTTTACTGAATAAAAAAGAAGATATTTTATTTTCAAGTAGTGAGGATTAAACTATTATAATATGGAATTTAGATATTGATTAAAATAAACTAGAAATAAGGTAATAAATTAATACTGAATCTGGAAATATATATTCTATAAGTCTAAATGAATAAGAAAATTACTTAGCATGTTGTAGCCGAAAAAGTAATATAATGATATGGGAAAATTAAGGATAAAACACTCAATGGGTACTTAAGTAAATCATCTAATTGGATGAAAATTTATTTGGTTTTAGATTAGGATTTTATGGTGATTTTCTGATCTTTCAACCTAAAAATAGAGGAATTTGTATAATTTATAAAGAGGAAAGTTTGTAATTCTAAGAATTTTAATAACTCTAATTAAATAATAAAGAATCCAATGATGAAGTAGGATTATCACCAATTAAATATAGCAAGATGAAAGATGTTATGATATTGAAACATAATATAAGTATTTATTTTATTAGAAAATAATCGGATTAGAAATTTTAAATCTTTGGAGAATAAATTAATTGTCAAAATAATATACATTTTTCAACTATAGCATTGAATGGAGAATACTTAGCTTAATGGACTAACGATTAGAAAATAACTATATATAAATTAGATTTAGAATGAGTGAATAAAAATATTAGATTCACTAATACATATTTAATTATTCAACATATATACTTTACACGTGCAATGTCTTCTTAAAAGAGAGAATCAAAGTCCCCTTTAAAATCCTTGTTAGCCGTATTCTAAGGTGGAGGAGGAGGAGCCACAAAAGTCATTCTACCACCCAATACTTAAATTGTATTTAATAAAGAAAAAGGAGTCTATGAATACCCAGGAAAAGAAGTTTATTCAGAAAAGAAACCAGAACCTAAAGTTGAAGAATAGATTCCTCCTGGAGAAGTGAAGGAATATTTGAAGCCATAGAATCCTCATTTAAGGGGGAAGTAACAAAGATAATAAAAGGACCATTAAATTAAATAAGTACCACCAGTTGCTATTCCATCTTAAACAAATAACAATTAGACTTAAAATTAATAATAATAAGACATATCAAAACAATAAGAAAAATAACCAGAATAAGAGAAATAATTAGAAAATAAAGAATCATCACAATAAACAAATATTTAAAATAATTCTCAAATTGCAGTCAACTAACCAATTACAAATTAGACTTCTATTCAATAAGATTTACAATAAACTAATCATCATTTAAATAATTAATAGATAATATTGCTATAATAATAGGTTGTATAATTAGCAACAGAAAATAAAGAACTTTAATCATAATTATAAGAATTATGTAAAGGATATAATTAATTGATACTCAATTATGATTAATGTAATAACTTTATTCAAACTCTTCCAAAAGCACTTTTACCTAAGAATTATTTAGACAATTTAGATTAGAATATGAAATATTTTAAACTATTTCAACCTTAAAATATAAATTTAGACTTGTAATAGTTCAATTTAAATTTATTAAAAAACTAAACACAAGTCTTTGTACCTCCTTAAATTATAGATTTTCCAATTAGTAGTAATGAATATTTGACTTAAATTATACAAGAATAGAATGAAGAATTATCAGATATGACTGAACTTCTTGAATAATAATAATAAGAAATTTAGAATAAAGATCTTTATATGTAATAATAATAAATGTTAATTAATGATTTATTAAGAAAATTAGAAGAATTTGTGAATTGTACTAATGCTTTCAAAAAATAGATTGAAGGTTAAAGTGAAGAAAGGAAAAACTATTAATAATATATTAAATAAATTGATTTCAATATTAAATAATAAGATTTATAAATTAAAAATCTATAAAAAGAGAAAGAAGTATATAAAAGATAGGTTTAAAGTCTTTAAAGAGATAAAGATATGTATATAAAATATAATGAAGAATTAAGAAGACAATATGATGAAGATATTTAAATGATGAATTCTCAATTAGAGTAATCTTAATTATTAATAAATGACTAAGAGTGTGCTGAATTAAGATAGATTAAAGATTAATTATAATTTGATTTAGAAATATCTAAGTCAGAAATTTAAAATCTTAAATAACTTTTATATGAGATAAGTACAGAGATTAATGTTGGATTCAGATTTTTAGGATCATTAGAAATTAGATAGATTGAGACAAAATTAGATATTTAAACATTATGTCATTAATATAGAAGAGAATATTAAAAATAAATGCTATAAAAAGAATAAGGTCATTTATCTATTTTATAAGATTACAAAGCTTAAATATTTTAAATAAATTTATAAAAATCATCTTTAGAATCAATTGTTGCTTAATAAGAAAAATAAATTAATAATTATATTAATGATGTTGTATCATCAAAGAAAGAAGTTGCACTTATATGTTAAGAATATGATTAAAAAATTGCAGAAATGAATGATTAAAAGTCTATTGTTTTAAATGAGTTAAAATAATGTGAAGATTAATTATTCTAGACTAATTTACAATTAATAAATCAATAATAAGAATTCTAATCATAATTAAGAAAAAAAATCCTTGAACATAATGAATAAATAACAGATTTAGAAAAAAGTCTATAACAATCTAAAATAGAATATGAATTTTTAAAAAAACAAATTCATGAAAAGGAAAAGGATTTAGAAAAATATTCATTTAATTCAAAAGAATTATAAGAATAAATAATTAAATTAGATCAAGAGAAAAAAACATTATAACATTCTTTATAAAATTCAGAAAAATTAATTGAATTAGAAAAAAAATAATTAGATTAACATAGGGATTAAAATTAATAGAAAATTCTTGAATTATAAACTTAAATTGAGTAGATGACTGAATAATTGAGTTAATAAATGAATTTATTTGAAGAGTAATAATAAGAAAATTAAAATTTGATTGAATAAATTGAAATATATTAATAAAAAGAATAAGAATATCAATTAATTTAATAATAATAAGTAGTATCAACTTAAACAGAATAATAATTATAGAATCAAATATAATAACATGAAAATCAATTATAAATAATATAAAATTCATATGATGAATTGACAATTACATATTAAAATTGTAAACATTAAAATGATTCATTAAAATAATAAATAGATTTATTAAATTAATAATTATTTGATTCCAAAAATGAAATTGAATAACTTAAATAAACTTCATAATAATTTGAAAATTTGATAGTTTAATTAAATGAACAAATAGAAGAATAAAATTAAATTTAAAATCAATAAAATTTAGAATAATAACTTTAAGAAGAAATTAATAATAAAACAAATATAATTAATTAATAAAAAGAATAAATTGAATAATTAACTGAAAATATAAGACAATTAAAAGATAATAATATTTAAGAAATATCTTTAATAAAATAATAAAATATAATAGAATTGAATGAAAAAAAAGAAATGATAATATAATTAGAAGTCTGTGTGTAGAATTTATAAAATTAAAATTAGATTAGTACACAAGAACTTACAAATTTATAATAATAAATCTAAAATTAAAAAGCATTACAATAATCAGAAATTGAAAATGAAAATGAATAATTAAAATAACAAATTATAACTTTTAATGAAGATAGAGTAACATTGAATAATTAAATTTCTTAATTGTCTTAATAAGTACAACATTATAGTGATTTAAATCAATAATTAACTTTAAAAATAGAGGAGATTTAATAAAAATTATTAGAATAATAAAATTAACCATAAATATCTAACTAAATTGATTAATAAGAATATCGTAGTTTGGAATAAGAAAATTAAGATTTAACAGATTAGATTTCAAAATTAGTTGAAGAAATAGGTGTAATTGAATAAGAGAGATCTTAAAAGGAAGCAGAGAATGATGAATTAAAAAGTTAATATGAATAAGCTTTAAATACAATAGCTGAATTAAGATCAAAAGAATATGATGTAAGTTAATTAAAACAATCTCATAATTATTATTAAAATTAATAAGATGAATATAATAATTTAAAGTAATTATATGCTTAAAAATTAAAATTAATAGAATAGTTGAATAAATAAATCTAAGATTAAGAACAATAATTGAAAAATTATCTTTAAAATGAATAAGAATTTTAGAAATTATAAGTTAAATACTAAGAATTAAAGGTAATTATTATAGTTTAATTTTTTTAGAATGAAAAAGATCAAATTTAATTATAAATTGAAAAGTAATAATAGACATCATCTAAGATAGAGGATACAAAAGAATTTATTGTTGAATAAAATTTAAAGTTGTAAAGAATGGAATAAGAAATTACAAGTTTAAATTCTAAAATTATGTAATTGACTGCTTAAAGAGATGAATATAAAGAATAACTTGAATTCAAATAAAAGAATGTAACTTCTTAAAAACCAAGTGGATTTGTGGGTAAATTAGCTGGATTTTTCGCAACAGAAAGTGAATTAAAAAAAATGACTCAAGGGTAATGAATTCTATATAAAAATAAAATATAATATAACATAGATTTGTTTTATATTATATATTCACATAATGGAGATTTTTACATTTGATAATTGTGATCATTCTAAAGAATTCTAACTTCTTGTTTAATATTATTCAGTATTTGATGAAGAGGGAGAATCATAAATAAGAACAAAATCAATTGTTGATTTATTAGATGCAGGCTTAGAAATTTAAGAAAAATTTAGGAATAAAGCAAAATAAGAGAAATAAAGTAAGCTATTTTTAATTTTATAGCATAAAGGAATTTCAAAACTCCTTTAGATTTTCTTAGGGATTCCTTAAAAAATAAAATTGATAATACTCTGTAATTTTAACAATTATTGATATTTTCTAATCCATAAGTAGTGAAGAACTTTGGAAAACCAAAAGTAGTTCATCATAATGGTGAATTTTTGTTAGTAGGAGGATCATTAGGGAATATTCTATATTACTCTTAATAATAGATGGATATCATTATTTAATAATAGAAGATAGGAGCAGTTACAGCTTTAGACTCATTAAATGAATTAGTGGCTGTAGGGTATGAGAGTGGATGGATTAGCATAATAAATATGAAAAAAAGGAAACATTTATGTACTTGTTAAAATATTACTAAATCAAAAATAATAGTGTTGAAATTCATTTTTTAATCTAAAAAATTTTATAATGTAATAACTTCTGATGATGTTGGTGTAATTAGAATTGTAAATTTTAGAAAGGGAATGTTAGGATTTGATTATGAAATATAATTAACAATACCAAGATAATCGTTTCCAATGTTAAACATTATAGTGTTATATAAAAATGAATCTAAAGAATTTATGGGAGATTTATATGAAAAATCATCTAGAATTATTGGATTATGTTCACTAAGCAAATTTTATCTTATCATGGTTTATAAAGATGATGAAAAGAAATTAAAATCAATTATAGAAATAGAAAATCCACATATTTCTTCACCAGAAAAACCTTTTTATTGCTATCTTTCTTATGGTTATGGAGTTTTACCTCCTCCAAATTAAGAGTAAGAAGAATAATGGAAAGAAAAAAGATTGATAATTTTACTTTGTTGGAATTGCCATATGTTTATATTAGTTAGAAGTAATGATTAGGCAAGATATATGACACTTAAACCATTAATTTTTAAATAACAAATACATGCAGCTTATTTTGTTGAGTAATCTATTATAGAAGTTATTACTGCAAATCAAAATATATATTTATTTAATACACTTCATCTTGAATTACATGTAGTTCCAAAGGGAATCGAATAAATACCATATTTTATTTAAAAAAAGAATTGGCCTGATTCCCCATTTACTTCCCTCTATTAGATTGAAGTTTTAAGTTAAGATGAAGGAATTGCATACAAATAATATCCTTTACAATATTAAATATATACTTTAAATAAATTAACAAGGTAAATCCATATTTTAGTGGAAGGATCCATTGTAATAGGTAGTATTAATAATTTAGAATAATCTATTGATATTTTTATTTAAAATAAAGATTGGGCCAAAGGAATGTTATTGATTCTTGCTTTGATGGATGGTAGTATGAAATCCACTCCAATCAAATTTAATATGTAGGTTTTAAAAAAGAAAGTATTGGAAATAGCCACTCATTATATTAAAGTTGTTTTAGAAGAAATCAGAATTACACTAGATAAACATAAGACTTTTATTTATACTCCAACTTCTTTATTTGGTCATTAATAAGATGTAGAAAAAGTTAAGACTCTACTCTCAATGCTTGTAGACTTTCTTTTGAGAGTTTCAAGTGATATCCTATTTAATCAAATATATTGTATAATAAAGAAATTTTTAAATGGAGATATAAGTTTATTATGCAATGAATTAAGTTTATATTTAAAAAATGGAAAGGTCAAAGTAATAGATGCAAATGAATAAACTATAAGTATTTTATATATTATTAATTTAATTAGATGAAATATTGCTATATTATGTTTAAAAAGGAGAATAATAATGTATTGATGCTTTTATTTAAAAAATTGATTATTCTAAAATAAATACTGAATAATTGATACAATTTTGTCTTTTAAATAAACTTACTACAAGTTTGAGTTATGTCTGTACAAGATCTGGAGATTTTTTAACTCCTTTGGCTAAATTATGGGGAATCATATAATAGGATATTAAAAAGAAGGATCCATAAATAGTGATAGAATAGGGAAAAAGCATTATTCATTATTTAGAGTAAACATTACATATTGAATAATTAATAAAAGAGAAATCTGATTAGATATCTTTATGGTTATTTGAAGTTCAAACTTTATTTTTATTAATGAGCATAGATTTTGGTGGTTGTGTCTAATTATGTTATAAGTTTTTTATACCACCTTATGACTAATTTTTAGATAAAGAACGATTAAAGAAATATTATGTTAATATGACTTAAGCTTTTTAAAAATTAAAAACAATAAAAGATTAAAATGATTTAAAATTTTAATTAACTTAATTATAAATAAAAACTTTACCAGATGCAATTGGATGGGATAAGATGATCAATTAAGTTGGTAGATCTATTTAAGCAAGTATTTTGAGTAAAGGATATACAGAATAATTATAAAATAAATAATTAACTGAATTATTCTTAGATTTAGTAAGTGAACATCGCCATTTAATATTTTTACCACTTTAATGTTTACCATTACCTAATATATTACATAATGATGAACCAACTCTTAAATATTGTTTAATTTATGCATACAATTAATTTATAATCAATTTATTTAAAAAATATCCAGCTGTTGATAAAGAAGATATTTTAAATTCAATGGCATCAGATGGATAATTTGATTGGGTTAAAATGTATTTAAATGAAGAACTTAAAAATTATAGTAGAGCTTTAGATTTTAGAATCAAAATTAAAAATCAATTACAATAATATAATATTTAAGTAAAATTTGAAATATTTACATGGATTTCCAAAATTTTATCTAGAGATCCTCCAATTACATAAATTGATTCTTTTAGAGATAGAATTCTAAATCATATAGGATCATTAGTTTCTTATAGTGCTATTCATACAAGATCATTGATTTCTAAATATTTTTAAGCCAATGATATTAGTATTCTTAATAAAATGGGAGAATTACCTAAATTATAATTAGAATATTTAGAATAAATAATGTAAGTAGATAGAAAATAATATCAATCTAATACAGATCTATTAAAACTTTATATAAAATTACTTTGTTAAATTAAACCTGATAAAGTTTTAAAGGAACTGTAAGAATAAGAATATCCTTTAGATGATATAATTAGTGTATTAAAATAATATCCTGTTCCTGATGCTTTGGTATATTTGCTTGAAAGATCAGGAGCTATAACAGAAGCCATTAGTGTCAAACTAGATGATTTTATTTAAAAAATATAATAGAAATCATTTTTAAGCAAAGTATGTATTTAATTTGAATGATTTAGAGTGAATTTTATTTGTATTTTTTGGAGATTTGTAACATATGCCTTAGAAATAAGAAATTAGATGAATTGGATGAATCCTGGGATATGGTTACTTAATGTATTTTAGAACTGTCTCAAAATAGATATACTCCATAACCTTACCCATCTTATTTAGAAGAATATATTCCATTATTGTTAAAGAAGTGGGCAGAATGTAGTCATTTAGATGCATTTCTACATAAAATAACAACCAAATATATGAGATTAAGTTCTTCTAAACTTAAAATGACATTCTTATCAATGTATACACATATCAATTTCTCTACTACTGTTTATACAAAGTTAGTCGATATCAATTTTATTAAATGTATTCAAAATATGAGAGCTTTGGTTCATGTATAACTTAAAGGATAGGGATACTTACCAGGTTGTTTTTCATGTTATAATTATTATGAGTATGATTAATAACTTCACCCAATCATAGTTTTAGCATGTGGTCACACTTTTCATTTTAATTGTCTTAATCTGGATGAGAAAGCTTAATATCATTGTCCAGTTTGTTTGCTGAATCCAAAAATAGCTATTGTTCATTTACTTCATTAATTGAAATCTAAAAAATATTTACTTAAGTCTGAAAATTAATAGTAATAATAAAATATAAGGAATTAAAATCCTTTGGTTATGAATATCATTAAATAAGGATAAAAAAAATAATAAGAAATAGATTAGAGTTAGAAATTCATATAAAATGAAAATGAGGTAGATATTAGGAGAATGAAATAAATAGAAAAGTTAAAAAAATTTGAATAATAAAAACTAATAAGATTAGAGAGAATTTGTTAAGGAGTTATGCCGTATTGAAATTATAAATTATGTATCTTAAAATGAGTTTAGATTTTTTAATTTACCTAATGTTAATTATATAATAAATAATGGATGTTTTGAATTAAACTTTAAATAAAATAGACTAAAAACAATAGATTCTAAGATTCAACATTTCTCTTATCATTAATATCAATTTTTTTCAATATATCACTTTTTATTCAGTTTAAGAAGAGAAACCAAGTCCATAAACTATACTAATAATTTAATTGATCAATTATATCTTAAAATATAATAAGATGTAAAATTGATTTTTCAAAAAATAGAAAAAGAATTTTGCAATAACCATCTTTAGAGAGATATAGAAAAATGAATGAAGGAAGAATCTTAAATTTACACTTAAAATAATGAAGAAAAAAAATACGTAAATTTAAGGAATTACTGAATATAGTCTTCCCTCAAAAAAAGATGATTAAATAGAAGAATTATAATTCATTTTCTTTTGCCATTTAATTTCATATTAATATTTAGTTCTATTAATATGCTTAAAACAATAAAATAAGATAAAATGAAATTATTTAATTGCAGTTTTAATTGATTTTTTATTTTGCTATTAAATATACGTGTTAAATTTTAATGAGCAAACCATCTACCCTTCTTGAATATCAACCAGCCAAATAACCCAATCCCAACATAATAAAATTGCTCACTTAGCATCAAGACTTGTTTCTCATTCAGAA